ATTCAGCTGCTTCCCCGCTGCCTCCAAACAACATCAATATTGTACTTTAGTATAAATCTACTAGCGTTCTATCGCGAATGCCGTTCTCTAATTGGCTACGCTACTCACTTTCTATTCTGTGATAGATAGTGAGTAGCGCAGCAGAGCGCGGTTTTTACCAAAATGACGGCCGCTTCCAAGTTTGCGTTTTCAAAGTATCTGTGAAGAGGATTTGGATAAAGTTTTGAACGACTAGTAGATTTATACTAAAACAATTAGATCATTCGCTCTCGATTTCTATGCGTGATACTTGTGTGCTTGCTGGCCAAAATATAGCCCCTGTGAAACTTACTCAGAGGGCAATTCTAAAACCTGGAATCCGGAATCCGGACCCGGAAACCGGAAACCGGAAACCAGAAACCAGAAACCGGAAACCAGAATCCGGAATCCGAAATAGATAATGAACAAGGTAGAAAATGTCATAGAGAACAGGCTCTCCGTCGGTGGCAGCCCCCTGTACCTTGACGGTCACGCCCCCCACTTTCGATGTCCAAAGACTGACCTGGCTCGTCTAAATAAATTTGTTTTTCCCAACAGGTACGAGACTAATTCCAGATCAACACTCTTTCCACACTGATAGTGCTACAAATCATCACTACAAATTCTTGCCGGCCGTCGTATTAAAACAATTTATAAATATGTTGCATACTTACTTCCGTCTGCTTCTCGCTTACGAACGGATCGGAACACATGTTGATGCTTAAAGACTGCCAGAAGCTCACCGCAATAGCTTGTTGCTATTATGCTACTCACTAGTCTTCTCAGAGCAATTTGATCTAGACAAGAACCGCGCTCTCACCAGGGCCAGGTTGAACAAAAGATGGGTAACTTAGCCTGCGTGCCAGCGAGAAGACTCTCGTGTTTGGGCCGGGGACGCGAGTTGCAAAGCCGCGAAAAGGCACTCGCTCACATGCCAATGCAAAAAGACACTAGACACTAGAGCCTGCTCAGACACTAGAGACAGATACTAGAGCCTGCTCGCAGGCTACGGGTAACTCTATCCACTCGAAAAATCACTATCCCTGACTGGATAGTGATTCACCCAATGGGTAGCTTTACCCAGCTTTTGAACAACCGGACCAGCTATGGGTTGTTCAGAACTACTCAAGAATGTTTTAACAACTACAATTTGTGGTTGAAGTAATGCAAAGAAAATAAGTAGCAACAAAATAATTTTCCCTATGTTTATTTATTAGATATCTACTGAAGTGAATTATTTCTATCGTCATTCATAATATCTGGACTCCGGATTCCGGATTCCGGATTCCGGAGTCTGGTTTCCGGTTCCGGATTCCGGTTTCCGGATTCCGTGTTTTAGGGTTGCCCTTAATCAGACACTGGAAAGAAGTAGAGACCGGGATGCGCAAACTTCGATTTTCCACCTACTTAGGCTTGATTTCCAAGAGTTTGGACGATATTTCCGAGTTTCAGAGACTTCAAACTAACTCGAGAAAACCTTGTTCTTCAGTGAAATCGAGCAGCGAAAAATAATCCAAAGCTTGGTTATTTGCATGGTGGCCAAAATATAGCTTACTCAGACACTGGAAAGAAGCAGAGACCGTGCTGCGCAAACTTTGATTTTGACCTACTTACACTTGTTTTCCAAGAACCTGGACGATGTTTCCGAGTTCCAGGGATTTCAAACTAACTCGCAAAGACCTTATCCTTCTTTGAAATCGGCAGGGGAAACATAATCGAAAGCTTGGCTATATGCATGGTGGCCGAAAATATAGCTCCTGTTGGACTTACTCAGACACTGGAAAGAAGCAGACCGGGCTACGCACACCTTGATTTTGATCAACTTAGGCGTGATTTCCGAGACCTTAGACGATACACCCGAGTCCCAGGTACTTTAAACTAACATAAAGACCTTGTGTTTCACTGAAATTGACAAGCGAAAAATAATCGAAAGCTTGGCTATGTGTCTGCTGGCCGGAATATAGCCCCTGTTAAACTTCCTCAGACACTGGAAAGAAGCAGAGACCGGGCTGTGTAAACTTTGATTTCCACCTACTTAGGCTTTATATC